TAATTTGATGAAAAATAACTGAAATTGGGTTATTATGCTTACTAAAGGTTTGATTCCACATCTGCATCCCCACTACTCTCACGGATCTCTTTCTCACAATTGTCACCATTTTGCACCTGTTCATTGTTCAAGCTTCTAGTCCTTTTATAGGCTCATGGTCCTTCAGAGGAACTACTGCTTCCATCCCAAGCCAGCTCTAAATTAAGCCTCTTCTTATGGACCCAACCTGTTCTGTTCTTGCCTTTTTAGTCTTTTGATCATTCTTCTCTGGTAGTGAGTCAAAAACTAGGCATTCTAGGTTTCTTTGCCTCCTGCTTGACAAGATTTTTTTTTTTTTTAATGTTAGACACTGGTTAATTTGAGTCATTTAATCCTCGCAAGACCTTTATGTGGAATATCAGATTATTTCCTCTATAATTCCAGAATTTGGTAGAGAAAGTGACCATTTAGGAACCTGGGGATGAAGGTGAAGCAGGAAGTGCTCAGGATCTCTAGGAAAAGCGATTCTCTCTGTGTGGGATGCTGAGAGGTTTCCCTTTATTTCTTATACTGCTCCATATTTCTAAATTGTGTACAGTAATCACATATTACCCTTATTAGAAATAAATGTTTTAAAAATAAAGGAAAATGAGAGTCACATGTACTTAGAATATTTGGAAAGTATAGAAAATTATTTTTAAAATGCTCACAGCTTACATGTATGCATAGTCTTTGTAAACTTTTTGGCATTTGTTTCTAGTCTTTTTATCTGTAGACAATTGAAACTTTTTACACAGTTGTAATCATTTCTGGTTTTTCTCCATTAAAAAGTGGTATGCCAGTACCCATATCTTGATGGATGGTCTATAAAATTGATGCTTTCCTCCTCACCACTTCCTGTGCTGCCTTCTCCCCTTGTCTTGAGCTACAATCTCTAACACATGTACATTGCATAGAAAGCCCCATTTGGTTAACAGATATCACTGTGACAAGCATGAAAGGAAAAAAAAAAAAAAAAGAAAGAAAAGCTTATTACGTCCCCTCTTCTCATTAACACATACCTCATTAATAATACCCTTTATGTTTTTTCATAGTGATTCAGTCTACATATTTATATATTCATTCATTTAACAAATATTTGTTCACTACTTTCTAAATGCCAACCAGCCATTTTACTCTTCAGCAAACATGCAGAGACAATAGAAGATTCCCTGTTCTTTAGGAGAATCTGGTTTCATAAATAGGAAAAAGAGCAATGTGTTGTTGATATGTAGAAATATTAAACAAGTTCTGTTAAACCAGAGAGGAGACTCAGTTGGATTTCAGAGACTCACGTGATTCTCCTGGAGAAATCAAGGAAAGATTTTATCAGATAAGAAAATGGTTCTCAGACAGATTTTTTTTTTTTCCCAACTGGTTAGTGGCTGAGTTAGCATTTAAATCCTGTTCTTTGCACCAAACAATGTCATAGGAAGGCTCCCCTTTTTTCCTTATGTTGTAAACTCTAGGTGTTGGTGTTTGGAAATTCCTGGGTTGGGGACTGCTGAACCCCTTTTCCTTCTCCCATTTCAGAATGTCATCAGTTTTTGATAAGATCAAAATAGGAGTAAAAGGGAGAGGAGACATGAATTCTCTAGACCAGCTTTATCTGTTTAATTAGATAATCATGATCTTGCTATTCTGTTTTTTTAGGTCTCACTACCAATCTCTAAAAGTAAAAGACTGAAATAAATCTAAGCCTCTAATTTTTAAGATAAGTAATGGGTCATGATTTTGTCCTTCTCTTCAAATGCCAAATGTGGCATTTCCTTAGAAATGTGTGTTCCCAAACACCTTGGGAAGTGATGCGTCTTAACAAGGACTCTCGATTGCCAGCTTTGAATCTCAACACTGTCACTTACACACTGTCTAATCTTGAACAAGCCACTTAACCCCCTTGAGCCTCAGATTTCTAATTTATAAAATAGAAATAATAATAATAATAACTGGTTCTTGCACAGATTTGATATGGAGATTCAATCCAGTGAGCTTATGTGTTGGCACCCCTTTGCACAGTGTCTGGTACATAGTATTCAGTAAATATATCCAATGATTAGTGTTGAGTGAGTACTAATTTGAAATTCTGAGCAGTTTTAAAGTCAAAAATACAATAGCAGCTTTACTAATGATCTCTTTATAAAGTCATAAAGAACCAGAAAGTCTATGCATAGAATATGGAATGTTGGTCTTTATCTTCTCAAGGGTTGGAACACTGTGTGCTGCTAAACTTTACTGACCCAGAAGAGACTTCCATTAGTCTTGTATAATACAGCAGGAGTCATTCTTTTCCTTGCTGTGTTCCCAGTGCTCAGGGTATGCTGCAGCACAGGTAGGCACTTTGTAGATGTTTTTGAATGAATGATTTCACACTTTGTATTTAAGAACTGAAGAGAAAAATAATAGCACTTGGCAGTGAACCCTTTGGTTTGCTCTCAGATCTTAGCCTGTGACATTTGTTGAATTTGCTTTGAGGGGACTTGGGAGCGTCCAGTGACAGTCATAGCAGAATTCTTCTGATATCAATGTTTGGCTTTCTGCTTTGATCAATAGGCTTATTATTTGCCCTTGAACCTCTGTGGTACTGGGGAATCACAGGCATTTCTCAGGTTGATTTACATGGCAATAAATAATCTGTGCTGTCTGTTGCTTGTCTCATCAATGTCTGCCCTGTTCATAAAACCCTGGGGGCTCAGCAGCCCCAAGGCTTCAGCGTTGTGGAAGTGCTAACTCTGGTTACAAATGTAGGTACCTGGAACCTGGAACAAGCTGGTCAGTTCATTGTTGCTTTGTTACTCTAGTATGTATTTACAATTTATGTATTAACATAATTGTAAAAGTGAGTTTCCATCTGATTTGATTATCATGGTTACATTATCATTTATTTTTTTACTTCTGTTATACGCTAGGCACTACTTACATCATCATCATCAGTAATTAATTAATTTTTGGTACTGGGGATTGAACTCAGTGGTGTATTACCACTGAATCACATCCCAAGCCCATTTTATTTTTAATTTTGAGACACTGTCTCACTAAGTTTCTTAGGGCCTCACTAAATTGCTGAGGCTGGTCTTGAACCTGTGATCTCCTGACTCGGCCTTCTGAGTTGCTGAGATTACAGGTGTCATCACTGTGCCTGGCTACTTACATTATTTTATCTAATCTTTACAACTCTAGAACTAGGTGATTTTACCATTTTTAGAGATTGGCAACTAAAACTCAAGGGAAAGCTTATTCTATGAAATCACATAGCCCATGAGCCATGGAGCTGAAATTTGAGTTCAAATCTTTCTGCCCACAAAGCATTTAGCACTGTACTGTGATATTTTTATCATCTAAAGTGCTTTCTTTCTTCTGCTTCTACAGTTGTTGGTGGTTAAATTGGTATCCTGCTACAAAGATCTGAAAGTTTTCTATACCATTCCAAGACAAATTTTAAATTTCTTAACAGCATTGCAAATACATAGAAATTTATAGTGACACACATAGCCAGATTACTTTCTTGTTATCCATCCATTTAGCAAATTTACAGTTTCCATTAATTTTAATCTATCTCTGTTACCTGTTTTATACAATAAATATCTCTTAGCCATGACAGAGTCACGGAGTATAGATTACCTGAAGTAGTTCTCTGAATAAGCAGAGTTGCAGCTAAAGATTTGTGAATTAATTGGGAAAATTGCAAATCAGGTAGTCAGTGAAATAATTCATTGTCACATCCAATCAATAAACTTTGTAAATCAACTCATTTAATTCAAAAAATGATCTTTATAGATCAAGCAACCAATTAAACAATTAGCATACACTTTGCAATTAATTAATTTAAGCATCAATCATGTAATTAAAACTCCAAATTTAAGATGGAGAATTTAGAATTCTCTTGCCTTGTGAACTATTAGAATGTGCTTCTGAAGCTAGCATGCTTCTGAATGCTAGCAAGTCTGCAGTTTTGAAGAGGGTGTCCGTAAAGTGTTTAAGTTGGTTTCAGTTTTAAAGTGTTTGTATGTTAATATAGTTTTCTACCCTTTTTGAACTAATTAACTTTTTACTTTCCCCAAAGAGGGGAGAAGAGGGTGTGTATTGATTCTGTATTGGGAAAAACTGAAAACCAGGAGTACTGACTAGACATTCAAGGGAAGTAGGAAATGTCCAGAAGTGGTCAATTGGCCCAGGGGTCTGTGTCAGGATGTATCAGGCCATTTGCTTTTATTCTGCTAAGGAAGTGTGTTTGAAATCACACTGCCGTGTGAGTTACTCTTATAAAAAGGAGAACTATAGGACTGATTTTCTATATGGAGCATCATGTGTTACTTTTGTGTTATTTCCCTGAGCTAGAGCACAGGTAGTGTCTTAATCCTACCCATTAATCAAAGGCCTCTGGCTACACCCACTGCAAGTAATTTTTTCCTGTGTTTGTAGTTTGGTTTGTATCTAATTATAGTTAATGTACTGCTTACTTTCCCCTCTGCTATACTGTAAACTTCCCTTAGGACTAATACTAAATCTCACCTTTGATCTCGGAGATTAAGTTCTGCATCTTAAGCATAACAGGTGCTCAGTACAAGTTAGAAGAGTAGAGTAATATAAAGACCCTCAGCTAGGTGCACTGCTGCACACCTGTAATCCCAGAGACTGGGGAGGCTGAGGCAGGAGTATCTCAGCAGCCTCAGCAACTTATTGAGACCCTGTCTCAAAATAAAAAAGGGCTGGGGATGTGGCTTAGTGCCTCTGGGTTCAAACCCTAGTACTAAAAAACAAAACAAAAACAAACAAAACCCCTTCATTTCACATTGTTTTCCTCCTGTTGCACTGCCCTGTGTTTTCTTCCTAATAGGTGAAGTGGGATTTGGGGTTCTGGTTCTATCATAGGCTTGGGGCAGAAATCAGCAGTGAACTCACTTTGCTTGCTGTGCACCATTCCCTCTGATCTCCTCGTCCTTTCCCTACCTTGGTATTCACTCATTTTTGTGGTTTCCTTTCAGTGACAATGTTAGTGCCTACTGCCTGCACATTGCTGAGGATGATGGGGAGGTAGACACGGATTTCCCCCCGCTGGATTCCAATGAGCCCATTCATAAGTTTGGCTTCAGTACTTTGGCCCTGGTTGAAAAGTATTCATCTCCTGGTCTGACATCCAAAGAGTCGCTCTTTGTTCGAATGTGAGTACTGACCTGTTATTTATCTCAAGATCTTCTCCCTGTCCTCTCGCATTTCAGATATGATCTTGATTTTGTTCATGAAATGAATTCTATTTGGTATCTGGAGAGTCCGTATATAAGATTACTTCTAGAGAGATGTTGGGAATGATATTTGTGGTGTTACTTCATGTCTCTTCACCCAGGCTACATACAGCCTTGCTTTGTAGGAGCAAGTTGTGTGTGTAGATCTTTGAACATCATCTCTACAGGTGGGCCTCTGGATGTTCTATTTCATTTGGACCCTGTGAAGCAAAACTCCTGGGTTTGCCTCCTCTTCAAGGAATCCAAACTAAAAGAAAATCAAGCATTGTGGCCGTTTTTGTGATTTAAAGTACCTTTCTCTTGATGCACTTGCCTGTAATCTCAGCAACTCTAGAGGCAGGAGGATCACAAGTTCGAGGTCAGACTCAGCCATTTATTGAGATCTTCAACAACTTAGCAAGACCCTGTCTGAATACAAAAAGTAAGAAGAACTGGGGATGTAGCTCAGTGGTTAAGCACCCCTGGGTTCAATCCACTGCACCAAAACAAAGCAAACTTTTCTCTCCAACTTTGTTCAGATCAAATTTGATTCTTCCTCAATTGCCTTCCTTCAGAGAGAGCAAATGTTCTTAACCTTTTCTTTTGCCTTTGGCTGTCTTGTAAAGTCTATAAAAGCCCTTCTCAGAAAAGTGTATGTAAATGCATAAAATGAATTTCACTGGATTATGAATGAATTCTGTTATTTTAAAGTCATCAACTGGGCTGGGGATGTGGCTCAAGCAGTAGCGCGCTTGCCTGGCATGCGTGCAGCCCGGGTTCAATCCTTAGCACCACATACAAACAAAAGATGTTGTGTCCGCCGAAAACTAAAAAATAAATAATAATAATTTAAAAAATTCTCTCTCTCTCTCTCTCTCTCTCTCTCTCTTTAAAATAAATAAATAAAAATAAAGTCATCAACTTATGTCTAGCTTTACCAGTGAGATAAATAACAAGACCCAGCTGCAGCTCTTACCATAACTCCTGAAGTCTGATGTTCAAAGTGCTGATGAATGTAAATGGTATTTGAGAAATCAGCACCAACCCTAATGTGCTAGGATTTCTGTTCATCACGGTAACTGCTCATACTAATGCTTTTATATTCAAGGAAATGCTATCAGAATTAGTGTAGATAAAAATGTAATTTTTGTCAGTTCAAGTCTCCTTTGCTGCTGAGGCCCAGTGGCTAAGGGAAGGCCTACACTCTCAGGCTTCCCTCTGCAGCCCTTCTCCCAGCCATCTCCTGGGAACAATAGTGATCCCTTTGGCACCCCCTGCTGTTAGGCACTAGCAAATTCACTATTCCTAAAGAGGAATTGCTTTGGAGGACTTTCCTCATATCTTTAAAACATATTGCCTTTGTTTGAGATTTTTCCTGAAAAAGAGAATCATGCTACATATTGACTTATGGATATTTGGAGTCCTTTTACCCTTGAGCAAAGAAAGACCACCGAGGGCCTGGGGGTAAGCTGTGAGGAGCAGCTCCTCCAGCTTTCAAGGTGGCAGTTTCATGCACTTGACTCCGAGGTCAAGTTTGGTGTACATAATAGCAAATCCCGCCCCCCGCCCCCCCCCCCACTTTTTCATTTCCAGGGCACCCAAAACATCAACTTTACATAACATTTAAGATAATTTAAAATTTTTCCAATGATCCCTCCATCCTAATATTGCCATTTTCAGCTTTGTATAATCATTTCCATGGACATGTCGATTATGGCTTCCCTCTGAGCATACATGTATTTCACTTGTCCGCATGTTCCCCACCCCCAACCCCTGCACTGGGGATTGAATCCTGGGGAACTCTACCACTAAGCTATATCCCCAGCCCTTTTTATTTTTAATTTTGAGACAGAGTATCACTGAGTTTCCCAGGTTGGCCTTAAACTTGGAATCCTCCTGTCTCAGCCTCTTGATTACAGGTTTGTGCCACTGTGTCCAGCTTTACATTACTTTTATTTAACATTAAATTTTAAATATTTCAACATCTGCTCTTGATTTCTTTTCTTTTTTTTTTAGAGAGAGAGAGAGAGAAAGAGGATTTTTTAATATTTATTTTTCACTTCTCGGCGGACACAACGTCTTTGTTTGTATGTGGTGCTGAGGATCGAACCCGGGCCGCACACATGCCAGTCGAGTGCGCTACCGCTTGAGCCACACCCCAGCCCTGCTCTTGATTTCTGTAGTCTGTATTTATTTGCACCAGGGACCCACACAGAGCTAATCCTTCCCTCATGGAGATTACTAAGGGCATACAGTTGTTGAATAAATCATTTAGAATGTGATTAGCAATCTGGGTGTGGTGGCATATACCTATAATGCCCGAGATCCCGAAGGCTGAGGCAGGAAAATCACAAGACCCTGCCTCAAAATTTAAAAATAAAGGGGCTGGGGTTATAGCTCAGCGGTAGAGCGCTTGCCTCGCACATGCAAGGCCGTGGGTTCGATCCTCAGCACCACATAAAAATAAATAAATAAATAAAATAAAGTTATTAAAAATAAAAAGGACTAAAGATGTAGGTCAGTAGTAGAGCACTCCTAGGTTCAATTCCCTGTACTGGGGGACGGGGGGGCAGAGTGTATCACTGATGAGTGCAATGGAACCATATCATATTTACATTGTTTCCTTGTTTGGTTTTAATGAGTAACTAATGTAATGACAGTCATTTCTGTATCCCTTTTACCCCTGTTGAATAACTTCCTAAAGATCATTTCCCATAAGTAGATTTATTGATCTGAGAGTGGAGTCTTCTTTAGACTCTTACTTTTTTTTTTTTTCCTGGCTGCCTCGCACATGCTGGGCAGGTATTCTACCACCAAGCTACATTCTCAGCCTAAGACTTTCACTTTTTATTGACAAATAGCTCTCTGAAAGATGTATCAATTTTATAATACTACCAATAGAATTCATAAAACAAATTTTTCATCATAAGGTATTTTCATAGAAGCCTTTTTACTTTACAAGATGTATATAGGGACTTGGGGTGTGGTAGAGTCTTGCCTAGCATGCTCAAGGCCAGCACCACAGACAAAGGAAAAAAAGAAGAGGAGGAGGAGATGTGTGCAGTGGCATTTTTATAGGTTTTATATAATTAGTAATTAGAAAAATTTTTAGTACAGTAACAAATGATCATAGCAATATTTTGAACTGAAAGTCCTTTTAAAGAGAAGGGCCTGGGGGCTGGGATTGTGGCTCAGCGGTAGAGTGCTTGCCTAGCATGGGCGGGACCCGGGATCCATCCACAGCACCACATAAAACTAAAGGCATTGTGTTGTGTCCATCTACACCTAAAAAAATAGATATTAAAAAAAGGAGAGAGAAGGGCATTTAAAGCAGTGATTTTGGGGTAGTGTTAGGTGGGGACTGGGGTAAATGCACCTTCCCAGGAGAGGCATCTAGGACTGCAGTGTCTTGCTGAGAACCTTCCTTCTGGGGAATGGCAGGGACCCAACGAGGTGGAGAGTAACAACAGCTCTAAAATCAATGCTCTATTTTTTTTTCCCTCCAGAATTACCCTATTTCTGCATTCCCCGCTCCCAAACATGCACCCCACTCAATCTTTTCTTATTTTAAAGTTCAGGAGAGTTTATTTGACATGTCTGGAATGTTTCTGAAAACATGAGGTAAATTGATTTTATATTTGAGCATTTAGAACAAAGGTGTCACTCAACTTTCTGTGTTTTGGTTTTTTTTCTCGGTGGTCTGATGAAATAATACAGATTATTGACCATTTGCCTGTGCATTTGTTCTTGGCTTGCAACCTCCCATCCACCTTTCTGGTTCCTGTGCTAAGCTAGCAAAGTACCTACAGATGTTAGGACAGACCCAAGGGTCTCCAGGGTCAGGGTCAAAGTTTCAGAGAGGAAATCCAGCAACATGAGTAAAACCATGACTCCTTCTCTTCATTTCCCTCCTTTTATCCTAGCATCTCTTTCCCAGCAGAGAAGGGACAGAAAGAAGCTGGGAAGGCACAGCTAAAGCAGAAAGTGGGCAGTAGGTTTGACTGTAAGGAATGTACTCACTCAGAGAGCTAACTCTGGATATGTTAACTTAATTTCAAAATAGCTCAGTTTTTACTATGATCAATTTAGAGATGTGGTCTTGTTCTCAGACCTGGATTTGGCCCTATGCCCTATTTTAACAAAGCCCTTGTCCTTGGCAATACCCTGGGTGTTGGTTTAGTCAGTTGGACAACCTGCTGTCTGATTCAGCCTCTATTAGAGTGTAGTATGTAAAAGCTTGGTGGTCTCTGAGTGCTAATCCTGACCTTGCCCTGGACTAGTGTGTGTGATCCTGGATAAATTATTTAACTTTCTATGGTTCATTTAAATGTGATAATAATAAGACCCACCTCACAGGTTAGTTGTGAGGATTGAATGTAAAGCATTTGTCAGGTATATGTAAGTATTATCTTAAATGTTAGCTGCTATTTCTCTTATTAACAATGAAACAACCCTTTGAGTGCAGAACTGGAGCATCAGTATTCCAGAATACCCAACGCAGCTCCATTACTATAATAGGTATGCCATGTGTTTCTTTTTTTTTTTTCCCATGTGTTTCTTAAATGGGTAACTGAAAAGATTTCTTTGCTACTTCTACTTTTTTTTGCTTCCTCTACTTACTGTTTTATTGCAGAGGAGAGACAGAGTTTAGGTGGACACTGATCATCTGGACTTAAAAAAAAAAATTCAAATAACTTTCACCGAATATGTGTGGGTAGTGGACTTTGTGAATCCATAGATTTTCAAATTAGTCCTCTTATGAGCAGACATCCTGAGAGATAGTAGCAAGACTACTACTACTAAGCTCCTTGAAGATGGGGAAGGCACTGATAAAGTAAATCTCTGTATCTTTAGGACCCAGCACAGGGTTTCATGGAGAAGGAACAAGGGAATCTTCAGGCATCTCAGCCTTCCAGGATAATGCTTGGCCAAGTACTGTG